TGAAAGCAAACCATTTATTCAATTTTAAATGATCCACGAACTTCTACAAGTCAAATAGCATCTTATTAATAGAATGAGGACATGATTTATATGTTACATGCCACAAATTTAATCACATGAGATTGATTCTGTTTTATGGTGATGGCAGAAAATATGAAATTAGTAAATTTTTATTGCTTAAGTCTTGAAAATAAAGATTGTTGTAGAACAGATCTAAGTCATGTAAATAAAACATTTCTTTTATGGATTTCACTAACAGCTATCATCATTATTATTCATTAGGAATTATTAGGATGACTATTTTAAATTGCTTATCTAATTCTTTGTTATTTTGCATTTCCACAAATGTCATAATACGGTGAACTATTTTGCCTTGGAACCGGCAGGAATTTGGAATTCCTAGAGAACCAGATTCAGATCCTCACCCTTGTACATGCACGAAGGTAGGGACTATGTTTTTTCATCTCCAAGCTGAAGGAAAGCAAGATGGAACTGAGCAAAATGTTGTGAAAATTAAATATGACCTCAGTACATTTGGGGTCTCAACTGTATCCCGGTATTAGTTTCCTAGGGCTGCTACAACAGAGTACTACAGATTGCATGGCTTCAAACCACAGAAATATCTTCTCACTGTTCTCGAGGCTGGAAGTCCGAATTCCAGGTGTCAGCTGCTCCCTCTGGAGGCTCTGGGGAAGGGTCCCTGCTTTCCCCTTCCCAGCCTCCGGTGGCCCCACGGCTTGTAGCTGTGTCACTGCACCCCCAGCCTCTGTCTTCACGTTTGCTGCTTCCTTGTGTCTGTGTCCTGTGTTTTCTCTTCTTCTTAAAAGGATACCAGCCATTAGATTTAGGACCCAAATTAATCCAGTATGACCTCATCTTAACTGATCACATCTGCATTACCTTTGGAGATCCTATCTCCAAATAAGGTCACATTCTGAGCTTCAGTGTTGAGAGGAATTTTGGGGGAACACTATTCAACCCTCTATATTTATCCAATTCCTAATTCTATGATGTTTTTATTTGTGTTATAACATGGTAATCTCTTTTGCCTTGGAAGGTGCTTGACTTTTGGGTTCCTAGAGACCTGGATTCAAACCCTCCCGTTGTAGATGAATGAAGGGTGGTGTAACTACTTTCTTCATTTGTGAATTGGAGAGAAGCAAGAGGTAAGGCACAGAAATGTTATAAAAATGAAATTATACTTTATACAAGATTATGCATGGCACATGGAAGGAACTTAAGTATTATTTTCCTATTAAAATTTAGAATATTCTGTATTAAAATATTTATTAGAATGATACATAAGTTTGTAGACAGCCTAATCTTTGATCAACCTAGTAAAATAGCATTTGTCCTACGTAAATAATGACTGTTTTGGAAATATCACTTTTAAGAAGTTCTCCCTTAAATACAATGTCTCCTTTAGTTATATGAACCATTATTAACTCTTCTGCCTCTTAGGCTTTTATTGAGGAAATAAAGCACTGCAGTAATTTTTCTTTATTAAATAATTTAAATTTGTAACTGTATAATATGAAATATTTCAAATGAAAATAACATTATATATCAGACATATGTCACATCAACCAGATTTGACAAATCTGGTTTAACATTTATCATAGTTTTTACAGATTTTTTAATGATTTTGCCTCAATTTAAGAAAATAAAGATTTACATATGCAACTTAACTCCACACTCCCATCAGATCCCTTTCTTTTCCTTTTTTTTTTTTTTTTGTTGTTGTTGTTGAGATGGAGTCTCACTCTATCGCCCAGGCTGGAGTGCAGTGGTGCAATCTCAGCTCACTGCAACCTCCACTTCCTGAGTTCAAGGGATGCTCTACCTCAGCCTCCCAAGTAGCTGATCTTACAGGCACACACCACCACACCCAGCTAATTTTTGTATTTTTAGTAGAGATGGGGTTTCGTCATGTTGGCCAGGCTGGTCTCGAACTCCTGACCTCAAGTGATCCACCGGCCTCGGCCTCCCAAAGTGCTGGGATTACAGGCATTAGCCCCCCCAACCAGCCCCATTGGATCACTTTCTTTCCATTCCTTACTAGGCAGTTATTCACAGAGTTGCTTGTCACCAGCTCACACAACTCTAGACATGAACATAAACTACCATATATTTAAAAAACTATGTAGTCTACATACGTACACAAAAGAGAAATTGCTTTTTAAATATCTGTGACTAGTCTTAGTATACTTTCTTCACACTTTTGAAAATCCATGATCTGGCCAGGCACAGTGGCTCACACCCAGCCTTTTGGAGGCCGAGGCAGGCGGATTAGGAGGTCAAGAGATAGAGACCACCCTGGCCAACATGGTGAAACCCCATTTCTACTAAAAATACGAGAATTAGCAGAGCTTGGTGGCATGTGCCTGTAATCTCAGCTTCTTAGGAGGGCTGAGGTAGAGAATCTCTTGAACTCGGGAGGCGGAGGTTGCGGTGAGCTGAGATCACGCCACTGCAGTCCAGCCTGGGTGACACAGAGAGACTCCATCTCAATAAAATAAAATAAAATAAATAAATAAAGGCTGTTCTCTGGACTTTTTGTTTCAGCAACTTCATTGGTCTCCATTGTATGAATGCCACAGTGCCCTTGCCCAGTTCCCAACTGAGGGACAATTATAGAATCTCCCTTTTCTTCCTGCCTCACAGCAAGTTCTGTAATGAACACCCCAGTATGTTCTCCATGTGAATGTGTGGTCATCTCTAGACCTGCAATTGTTGGATTGTTGGATATTCTCATCTTTAATTTCATGGCTATTACTAAATTATTTTCCAAAGTAGAGGTACGAATTGGCATTCTCACCAGAATAATACAATTGCTATTCCCACACATTCTTATCTACATTTGGTACTATCAAACTTGTTTCTTTCAATCAGATAACTGTAAAATATTATCTTTTTGATTTGATTATAAGAGAGTTTGAACATTTTAAAAATCTGTTTGTTGGCAGTATAGTTTTCAAGTTCTGTGGATGCCCACTGTATCCTCTGAAAGTATATTGGCTGATATAACATTGACTAGTTTGTCTTTTCCTTGCCCCCATTTGTATGAGGTTAATAAAACATATATGTATCCTGTATAATATTCCTGTATTGGTTTTGCCTTGCAGATATCTTTCTCCAATCTGTGGCTCATCTTTTCTGGTCTTCACCATAGTTAGTAAGTCATCTCGTAGGGCAAGTGTTTTCTTATGTATTTGGATTTCTCCTTTCAGTACTGATTTTCTCTTGGTTTCTCCTCGTGCACTAGAATCTTGTCTTTGTCAGAAGCCGCTAAGTGCCTGTCTTAGTCCATTTGTGTTGCCATAAAGGAATACCTGAGGTTGGGTAATTTATAAAGAAAAGAGGGTTATTTGGCTCACAGTTCTGCAGGCTGCACGAGAAGCACGGCGCCAGCATCTGCTTCTGGGGAGGGCTGCAGTCTGCTTCCACTCATGGCATGTGGTGAAGGGGAGCCAGCCTGTGGGGATCACTTGGTCAGAGGAAACAAGACAGAGGATGGAGATGCCAGGCTCTTTTTAATAACCAGCTGTTGTTGGAACGAATAGAGCAAGAACTCACTCACCCCCCTCCCCGTAATAATCTATTCAATAGGGATTCACCCCATGACCAAAATCCTCCCCATTAGGTCCCACCTCCAACATTGGGGATTAAATTTCAACATGAGATTTGGAGGGGACAAACATTCAAGCTATTGCAGTGCCTTTTAGTCCTTCTAGGGCCGGAGCATTGGCATGGTTGACTAAATGAGAATGAAAGCCTGGTGATCTGGAACCTGGTTAAATTGGACTGAGTATTGCATCCTCTGTGCTCATGTTTTGACTGAGATATTTCTCTGGTTCTAATCTGGTTTTCAAATTCTGACTTCTGTCTCGTTCCTCACTGACCCTTAATTTTTCCAGAGCTTACCTTAGTAGCCAAAGAGTTTCAGAACTGCTCGAATTTGAGCCTAATTTTAGGTCTTTGCACAACTCCAGGCAGGGCTGAATGGAGGAGGTGTCATTTACATACACAATGTGTGTTTGGTCAACACAGATAATCTTTAAATGACTAACAATTTAATGCAAATTATTTCCCTTCATGTGATAGAAAGCAAATAAAGTAATAAAGTTTAATTAAACACAGTCCTATAGTTAACTCTATGATAGCAATCTTTGCCTGAAGGTACATTCCAGCACCCAACCCACTTCTTTTTCTCCTGGCAATATTAAATGACTTTATTCTTGAAATAGACCAATTATCACCATAGGATAATAAATTAAAAACAAATGATTCTTTGCTATTTTAATTATCCTGGAGCTTGTATTTGGAGCACTAAACCTTCACACATTTAGTCCTATCCACACTGAATTTTTGGTCAGAAATGATATGTTTAGATAATAGAATATTTTGTTAGAAAAAACAGCTAAAAAGACATTGAGTTTAGTGTTTTGATCAACTTATAATATCTAATATTTGAATGAAAGCATGTTGCAGTTTTGCAAATATAGAGTTCATGGATTTTTATCAATGTCCATTTTACTGTCAAGTATTCCTGTCCAGGATTTTCAGCTCTTGCTCATATCAAGAGATGAAGAAGCCTAGGCATGGTGGCTCAGGCCTGTAATCCCAGCACTTTGGGAGGCCAAGGCGAATGGATCACTTGAGGTCAGAATTTCGAGACCAGCCTGGCCAACATGGTGAAACCCTGTCTCCACAAAAAATAAGCCAGGCATGGTGGCGGTCGCCTATGATCCCAGTTACTTGGGAGGCTGAGGCAGGAGAATTGCTTGAACCTAGGAGACAGAGGTTGCAGTGAGCCAAGATTGTGGCACTGCACTCCAGCCTGGGTGTCAGAGTGAGACTCCATCTCAAAAAAAAAAGAGATCAAGAAAATGAAGAATTTGGATGTAGTGTATCACTGTTTTGTCTAGTACTAGAAAACCTTAGAAAAATTAATGAGCTGTGTAGTTTATTGATTTATTTGAGATCTACAGCATAATTTTAATATGAGCATTTGTTTTGATCTTTGAAATGAGGTAAGTTCTTCCATGTGTGTCCAGAATTTCCAAAAATATGGACATATTTACCTATATCTGCCTTCAGCTTTGCCTCATATCTGTTTACCATTTCTCATTTCTTTTAGGTAGTCTCTATAAGTGGTAACCAAATGACCTAATTAGAATGAACTTCTGCAAAGCCATCAACATTCAGGAAATGCTATAAATAGATTGATTTGATTGGTTAGCTGTTTAATTAAATAATGTAACTGTTCTCTTATTCAGCAGGCATTCTTTGAACTGTTGTTACTTGATACATGCAGGACAACTGAAAAGAAAGACAATGGCTACATGGATTAGGTACACACGTATTTCCCATTATCCAGATTGGTTTAGTTACTGAGTTTGGATTGAGAGAGTTTAGATAGCCACAGATGTGTGTATTTGACTATTTAATGATAGTATACGTGAGACATGCTTGCACAATCACAAACATTGTTTAAAATACCAAATTGCTTTTAGCTTTCCCAGTGTGCAATTATATATTCTAATTGTGTTGCAACAACCTTTGCTATTCTACATTCGTTTTTGTTAGAGTGAAGAAAAAAATTATAATTAATAAAGATCTGATTTTCAGGTCATGCTTTTAGCTTGTTGACTTGGATGGATTTACTTTTTCCACAGAAACACCAAGAAACCAGGCAAGAGATGTAGATTTGCAACAACATTGGGAATATAAATTGATATCTTTCTAATCTCTTTGAAGAATCATGGACTCATTTAGACCCATTTACAACAAACAGAAGTGACTGATAGTTGGCTGGCTTGTCATAGAGCAGAAAGACAGCAACACAAACAGCAAGGTAAGGAGTAAGGAGAAGCTTCTCTCTACTCGCTCTGTATCCCCCGCCGTATTAGTGTATATTCTCACATTGCTGTAAAGAACTGCCTGAGACTGGGTAACTTTTAAAGAAAAGAGGTTTCGTTGGCTCATGGTTCCACAGGCGGTACAGGAAGCATGGTTTGGGAGGCCTCAGGAAGCTTAAAATCATGGCTGAGGGTGAAGGGGAAGCAGATACGTCCTGCATGGCAGGAGCAGGAGGGAGAGGGGCAAGGGGGAGGTACTACATACTCTTCCACAGTCAGATCTCGTGAGAATTCAGTCACTATCACAAGAACAGCAAGAGGGAAATCACCCCCGTGATCTAATCACCCACCACCAGGCCCCTCCTCCAACACTGGGGTTTACAATTCGACATGAGATTTGGGTGGGAACACAAATCCAATTCGTGTCACCCCCCGACCCCCATTAGAGACTTGGGATTTGAATCAACAAAAAATCCTGCAGTTCACTTTTTATGTGGATAATACATTGGAGGCAGATAATTTTCCCCCTTCTGCCTCCTTGTCACTTCCTTTTTCCTTTGAATCAGAACATAACAGCGTCCAGTAATGCAGCGTGCCCACGTGTGAAATGAAGCAGGAGCGGCGTAGTGCAGTGAGAAACAGGCGTGGACAGCCACAGGAAGGACGGGGCTTCAGGCCACGTTAAGGTATGTACTTGCATTTATTACTTATAGCTAAAAATCTACTTTAAGTGCTTTCCAATTACTTGAAAGAAATTTCCTTTTTACCATTCACTTAGGCAACAGAAGGAAGGAGAAAATCTTATCTCGCAGAACTATACTATATAAACACCTGAAAATGTCAAAGATTTGTTTAAAGGGTACAACTTACCCTTTAGCTGAAATGAAGTTGGGAGGACAGACTGCTGCTTTCAGTGATGGTGCGTTAGGTAATTTAGAATCCCTTACCCTGCTGAGAAAAGTAGCAAAGCTGGTGGGGAAAACCTCTTTGAAAGCACAGAATGGCTAAAAATACATTGAAAAATTACCTACCAAAATTTGAGACACAGAAATTCAGAAAAGGGATCCCTGTTTCTAGGGGGTTGTTTGCTGACTGCGGATTATAGAAATGTACAGATGGAAGGCTGGGTAGCGTCTCCAACAAACTCCCAAGGCTGGGTGAGCGACTGAAATTGGAAGCCAGAGGTCATTAATATAATGATAGAGGATCCTGGTAAAACCTCCAGGCTTTTGAGTTGAGATGCTGAGAGCTGAAGCTTACAAACAAGAGTAACAGGGGTAACACGGTCCTCGCAACGACTGCATCCACACTTTCCAGGACCAGTCTGGTGGGGTCCTGCACCTCTAGGACCCCAGTCAGGAATCCTCTCTGGAGGAAAATAGCATTAACCAGATATAGGACTGCATCAAACGGTGTAGGTGACAAGACAGTGTATATTAGAACCCACTCATAATAAAGGAGCCATAAAACTTCAAGTTTTAATATAAACCAATACAGACTTCAATATAACTGTGAATATTGCGCTCAAAGATGTGAAATACAAGACTGAGAGTCTCAGCAGAGAATTGTCAACTCTAAAAAGTATAATCAAGATCAAGTTTTAAGTCTGAAACATAAAATAACTGAAATTAAGAACTCAGTCTACAGTTTTAACAGCTGTTTATTAATACATAGATAAGAATAGGCTATATATGTGTCTAAATATGCCAGTATCTCTGTGTGTATATATATAATATATATGTATGTATCTTTCTACATATAAATATAGAGAAGAAGGGATGGATGGGGAGAGAGACACAGAGAGAAGTACCAAAGACAGTAATTACATCTAGAATATAGTGAGAAAGTCCAAAAGGTAACCAGAAGAGGTGAAAGATAAAAATTGGATGGTAGCAATATTTGAAGTTATTATGGTTGAAAATTTTATAAAACTGGAGGAAGTCAACCAATCATGGACTTAAAAAGGTCTACATACAATAAATACAATAAATATGACATAAATCACATCTAGGCATACCATAATAAAACCAGAAAAACAAAGACAAAAATAAAATGTTAAACTCAAGAAAATATACATTTTTACAGTAACAAGGTTTTAGACATCTACCTGGCTTCTTTTTTTGGTAACATCTTTACTGAAATGTGTTTATATACCATGTAGTTTATCTATTTAAAGTGTGTAACTTAATGATTTTTTTTAGTATATTTACACAGTTTTGCAATCATCAACACAACTTCTAAACATTTATACCCCATATCCCTCAGCTGTCACCCCTAATCCTTCTGTCCCCAAGTCCTATGTAACCACTCATCTACTTTCTGTCTGTATCATTTCCTGTTTTGGAAATTTCACATAAGTGGAATTATGTAATCTGTGGTGTTCTCTGGCTTCTTTCACTTAGCAAAATGTTTTAAGTTTCATCTACATTGTATCAGAACTATGAAGTTCTGAATCCTTTGTATGACTGAATGATATTCTATCTTGTTTATCCATTCATCATTTGATGGGCATTTGGATTATTTCTACATTTTGGCTATTATGAATAATGCTGCTGTGAATATTTGTTTATAATTTGGGGGTGAACATATGTTTTCACGTATCTTGGGTAAATACGGAAGAAGTAAAATCGCTGGGTCCATGATAACTGTATGTTTAGCTTTTGGAGAAACTGCTCAAATGTTTTCCAAAGTCGTGGTTCAATTTTACATTCTCATCATCAGTGTATGAGGGTTCTGGCAACACTTCTTGTTCCCTATTTTTTTTTAATATAGTCATTCTAGTGGATGTGAAATAAGTTGTGAAATGTCTCTTCTTAACATGATAAATGGAAGTCAAAAGTCAATGGAATAATAGATTTAAATAAAATAATGTCAACATAGAATTCAATGTTTACTTCAACAACAATGTGCTTAAAAATTCATTTGAAAGAGAAAAAATTTTAAAAATTGATATAAATTATTATCAGCACATCTGCACTAAGAGAAACATTAAGCATATTCTTTTCAGAGAAGGAAAATATTCCCAGATGAAAACTTAAATGTGCATGAGGGCTGGGTGTGGTGGCTCATGCCTATAATCCCAGTACTTTGGGAGGCTGAGGTGAGCAGATGACCTGAGGTCAGGAGTTAGAGACCAGCCTGGCCAACATGGTGAAACCCCGTATCTACTAAAAATACAAAAAGTAGCCAGATGTGGTGGTGCACACCTGTAGTCCCAGCTACTCTGGAGGCTGAGGCATGAGAATCACTTGAACCCAGGAGGCGGAATTTGCAGGGAGCCCAGATCGCACCACTGCACTCCAGCCTGGGTGGCAGAGTGAGACTCTATCTCAAACTAACAACCAAAAAAGAAACAAATGTGCATGGGTGGCTTTCTTTAAATGTCTGTGTCAAGGACACGCCCCTCTGTGTTCACATTCAGTTCGAATGTAGTGACATCTGGCATCTGTGATTCTCAAGTTCATCTCTGGTTGAATTTCAACAGCATAGAATGAGAAAAGAAGAGATCCTGAGGAATATCACTGTTAAGAGAGAAAGGTGTCCAGAATGGCTAGGAGAAAACTTAGGAGGAGGTGGTGTTTTAGAAGCAGAGGGAAGAGAGCATTTCAGAAAAAAAAAATAGATTAAATAAGTACAAAATATATATTTTTCACTTTACATAAAGACACCCTGAGTGACATTTTTGAAAGCAATTTTAGATGATGAGTGAGGACTAAAGACAGATTGTGTGTGTGTGCGTGTGTGTGCATGTGTGGTGTGTGTGCATGTGCGTGTGCATGTGTGTGGTGTGTGATGTGTATGTGCATGTGTGTGGTGTGTGTGCTGTGTGTGTGTTCCTGTTTATGCATGCATGTGTGTGTGCGTGCATGTTGGTGTGAGTATTGGTGAGGCTGTTGAAGTGAAGATAGTGAGTAGCAGCGTCTCCTGCATACACTGTCCCTGGGAGGAAGCTTATATTCCTTCCCCCAGATTAATTTTTTTAAAAAAGAAGGAAGTGGAAAGAGAAAACCAATCAGTGGCTTTGCACAGTCTATATAAAGGAAGCCCTGTGTAAATGTGCTAAGTATGAAAAGAAAAGACCTCATGTTTTAGAAGATATTGAGAATAGTAATAATATGAGGTCACTTTTATAGGTAGGAAAAAAAGGTCTGTGGAAGAGTAACAAAATACTAAAAAAGAGAGAGAGGAAAGGGGGACACTGATGAGCTGGAATAAAGGCATCGGACCTCAGGTCACCTGACAACGAACCAAGGAAAACAGGTTGGGAACAAAAGAACCATTCTACAATCCACATCTCCTCGCATAATTTACTTAAACCATATAAATGATAGAAAAAAGCTATTAAAATGATTCTTGGTGGATTAGGAGCAAAGAAATGGGACACTGCGTTGTAATTATATCTCTCTGCTCTTGCAACAGATGTTCAATAGGAAGCCCCAAATGTTTGTTGCTAGTTGTTATGCGTGGCTCAGAGCAGAACAGCTTGTCTGAGCTCCCGGCCCAGAATACTGCAGTGTGAAAATAGGCCACAGGCATCAAATTCATTGTGATTATTGTGAGTAGACACTGCTAACAGTACCCTGGGGCTTATGGATTAGGTAACTTTCCTATCTCTAACCTAGGAATAAATTACTCTGTATGCCATTTTGCATAATCAAAATGTGATACCATACGAATTGTCAATAGACATATAGCACAAAAGCGTTTGAGGATATATGAATATGTCAGGAGCATATGTTTTCCATGGATTCATGTGAAATTGCTAAGGTGAAAATGGCTAATGTTTATTAACTGGTTAGTTTTTGAAGTTTTAGAGGCAATATTGACCAGGATTCATGCAAACAAAATCAAAACCTGTTATATACTACTATTCTGTGTTGATAACATTCCCACTATGACATTTATTTTAACTAAATAAAAGTACTATTTTAGAAAGGGAAAAAGACTGATTTGGAAAATAATGTAGGAGGAAGGTAAATTTTAAAATAATCACTCAAAGAGGAGCCCTTAATGGAAGACTATGGAAAAATTAGAATAGGGAAAATCAACAAAATAAATCCCTTTTGTATGTCTAAACACATCCCAAAAACATAATGTGTTTAAAACAAATATGTTCAGTGAGATCCTAAATTAATAAAATATGGAAAAGATTATACAACTCTTATTATCAGCTTAATAAATAACTAAATTTTGACCTGTTTAAAGGAATGTACTACCAATATGCCATTAAATTTTGTAAAAATAATCTCTTAAAGAGAATTTCTTTAATTGGATAAACTAAAAACTGTAGTATAATTTTCATAGCCAGTGTTACACAGAAAGGATTTACTTCTCACACCACTTCACAGGAAAAAGTCCTGGCACTATTTGGCTTCAAAGGAATAGTCAGTATGTCTACTAGATACAGAAAAAAGATAATTTCCATTGATTTATGAAGTTACTCAGGAGATGAAACTTACTTTGTCAGCGAAACCTCGGTTTGCTATGATGATCACATTTAGAGAGAAATTTTTACCTTTGTTAAGCAGCCCACCATTAATTAAATAGTCATATTTTATCATAAAATTATACGATATTATTAAAATTCTCCTTATCACCAAACTACTGGGGTTTGTTTATCTGTAGCCTCCAAAACTCATCTTGAAATTTATTCCTCCACATGGCAGAAGTGAGAGGTGGGGGCGTTTGAAAGGTGATTGGGTCCTGAGGGCAGAGTCCTCAGGAAGGGATTAATCCATTCATAGATGTGTGGGTTAATGGATTAGTGGGTTGTCACAGGAATGGGACTGGTGGCTTTATAAGAAGAGGAAGAGAGTACTGAGCACGTGAGCATGCACGGTCCCCTTGCCAGATGGTGCCCACTGCTACCTCAGGACTCTGCATACGAAGAAGGCTCTCACCAGAGGTAGCCTGACTTGGACTTCTCAGACTCCATAACTGTAGGAAATAAATTCTCTTTCTTTATAAATTACCCAGTTGCAGGTATTCTGTGATAAGCAACAGAACACGGACTGAGACAAAAGAAGTTTCCAGAAACATTTAGTTCTTTGTAAACACAATTACCTAATTTTTAAAATGCATTTTCCTTCACCTTCTCACCTTCTCTCACTTTTTCTATTATGTGTTTTATTTCCCTGGCACAATTTTTTGGGGGGAGAGATGGCAGTCAAGAACACAGGCACTGCTCCTGCCCTCCTGCAGCTCACGGTCCCATGGGAGATTCAGACAGTAATGAAGAATTATAATTACAGTGAGAGCTGTGAAAAGGGAACCCCCCTCCCTGATGCTTGCAAGGCTCTTAAGCCCTTGAAGGTACAGCGTTTCTGCTGACCCCTGTGGCTTTGATTCCCAAGGTACTGGTTGTCTCCTTTCTTTTTTTCCCCAAATCTTGTCCAGACCCCTGACCTCACGATTCTTGGTCTTCAGCCCGTTTAGGGACTAGGTGGTGGTAGTCGTGGTGTCTTTTTTCTTTGTTTGTGTTTCTCTTCAGCTGCATCTGTTTCTATTAGAAAAATATGATGGTTTTAATCAGTTTTTAAAACAGAAAATAACCTCTGCTTGAAATAAATTTTCCTTTCTTCTACTGGGCATCTTAAAAAACTACTTCTTGGAAGTCCGCTTCATCAATTTCTATTTTGTGGATAGTTTCTATGTCTTTATATAAAACTTTGTTTTCTTTTTCAGGACCCTGAGCCTCACACTTAATTCTATACTGTGGATTTCTCATTGCAGTTTATTTTTATTTTATTTATTTATTTATTTATTTATTTATTTATTTATTTATTTATTTTGAGACAGTGTCTCGCTCTGACGCCCAGGCTGGAGGGCAGTGGTGCGATCTCCGCTCACTGCAAGCTCCGCCCCCCGGGTTCCCGCCATTCTCCTGCCTCAGCCTCCCGAGTAGCTGGGACTACAGGTGCCGCCACCACGCCCGGCTAATTTTTGTATTTTTAGTAGAGACGGGGTTTCACCGTGTTATCCAGGATGGTCTCGATCTCCTGACCTCGTGATCCCCCCGCCTCGGCCTCCCAAAGTGCTGGGATTACAGGCTTGAGCCACTGCGCCCGGCCTGCCATTGCAATTTCTACACTGGAAATATTGTCACTTAAAAAACATTGATCCCTTCTTATGTGTAAAGTGTTGTAATTTCACTGTATTTAATAGAACACTGAAAAGAGATATGAGTGGCCTTTCTGTGATCCTAACCTTGTTTTAGAGAAATAATTCTGAAATAAACTAACAAATTATGCTCTGTAATGGAAGTGTTCTTAATACCATCGTGCAGAGAATGGAAATGATTTACATACAGTATATGCCCAGTAGGGTTTACACAGTGCGGTTTGTCACATTGCCACTAGATGGCAGTGATGATGAGCATGGACCGCACATTTACACCAGCCCTACAACCACCTGAGCTTTTAGTCCTTTTTGTTTACTATGATGCTGTTGTCACCATGGCACTGACATTAGAAATATATTTTTCTTCAGTAAGTTAGCAGCTTTACTGAGCTCTTATGATGTACTAGGCAATGAGATAAGCCAGAATCCCTATTTTATAGATGAGAAAATGGAAATCCAGGAAAATAAACTGAAAAGTCAAAAGCCAATAAGGCAAAAAATGAATTTAAGTTCAAAACGAAGTCTGTTTGATTCTAAACCAACTCCCTTTTTCTACTGAGTACTTGAAATAGGATTGTGTCTGATACCTCTTGGAATTCTCACAAAGCCTTGGAAACAGAGTAAAAATGAAAATAGTTTTTTGAATGAATTGTAATTCTATCGCGTGACTTTCTTTAGACCCAAAAATTAATATGTTTTACAGTTCTCTAGATTTGTTTTTATCTTTGGGACTTACTTTTAGGGTTTGGTGATTATATCTTTTGTAATGATTGATAGAGTCATATAAAATTCGTTAATAGACTCAAATACAAGCGTAAACATTACAAATTAGCATGTGAGGAATTATTATACATTTTTAAGTAGAATTTTTGACGGATATAATAAGATACCCAAAATGATCATAGGATGTATCTAATATTTTAATACAACATTTTTAATTTCTTAAAATGAGAATTATAAA